GTCGCACGCCCCGTGAGTCGCACGACCGTGGGCGGGAGTGCGGCGTCGGCGCGGCCGGCGGAGTTCCGGGTTTCGCCGCAGGACGTGACGCGGGGACGGGTGGTGGGGACGGGGACTTCGGCGGTGGTGTATCAGGGCGAGTGGCGCGGGACGCCAGTGGCGATTAAGTGTTTCAAGGGTAACACGTTGGATGGTTCGTGGGATCACGAGTTGCGCACGGTTCTGCAGCTGCGGCACCCGAACCTGGTGCTGGTGCTGGGCTACGTTAACGAGGTAGTAGAGGAGCGTGGCGGGGCGGTGCGGCTGGTGGAGCCGATGGCGCTGATAAGCGAGTACTGCAACGGCGGGACATTGTTTCGCGCGTTACATCGCGACACTTACCGCCTCACATGGCGCCAGCGACTGAAGATTCTTTATGACGTAGCCGTGGCCTGCCGTTACTTGCACTCTGCCGGACTCATCCACCGCGACTTGAAGAGTCTAAATATCCTACTCGACCGGAAAGTCAAGAACGTCACCGACATCCCCAAGGCCAAAATCACCGACTTCGGCATGTGCGTACCCAACCCCACAGGCCGGGCCGGCACCTATCAGTGGATGGCCCCCGAAGTCTACCTCATGCTGCCCTCACAAGGGGCTAAACAAGACGTCTACTCCTTTGGTGTTCTCATCTACGAATGTGTCGCCAACTGCATTCCCTACTCCAATCTACAGACTGCAAACCATAATATCGCCCATCTCGCCGCTACCAAAGGCATACGACCAGACCCTAGATCCCTCCCCAACGATATGCCTTCGCAACTCCAGTATGTACAACACAATTGCACACGGGAAACCAAATCGAAGACACACTCTCTTCGTTTCAGGAACTTGATGGTCCAGTGCTGGCTACACGAGCCGGAGAAAAGACCTAACTTCTCTGAGATAAGCGACACCCTAGGCAGTTTATATAAACAATCCTGCGGCAACTCATCGCAACAATGAAGAAGCCTTTTTGATACCTTCCATCTCGAACTTTCGCAGCATGGCAGCCGTCCCCGTAGCGGGCTCAGACCGTGCACGGCGGTGATGGTGCACTCGTGGTGGGGTTGGGGGGCTTGGAGTGGACATTGGTTTGGGTCAGAAAGCTGCGTTGGCAGAAGATATGTGACAAAATAAAAATGGGGGCAAGTGCGGAAAGCAATGGCAGGAATTCTGAGCAAATTAACTCGTGGTACACAATAGAAGCAGGTTGCTCTGAATCGATGACCGGAGGCGCACGCAGCCCAGAAGTGCGAAACAGTTCGAACATGTCATCGAGTTATGAGTTTGATTATTTTACTGGTGCGTCGCACAAGTTCGACGGTGCGACTCACAAGTCGGACAGTGCGTCGCATGAATACAGCAGTGCGAGGCCGACGAGTGCACAGTCGGAGAGACGGGAACGAATGGACTACCGCGTATTGAACGAACAGGAATGGAAAGACTGGCTAGAGATCCGTTCCAGATTCCAGTACGATACGCTTCTTGACATGTACGACTTGGGCTCAGGAGGCTTGGGCTCAACAGGTTTAGGTTCATCTGGCTTGGGAGCCGTAGCGCGGACGGGGAGCAACAGCTCGGAGATAGAAACAAATCCTTTAGAGGTTGAGGTGATGGTTTTGAATAACAGCAAGGCCGAGGACTCCCTGGAAGGGGGTCAGGTGGAGCTGGTTGTAAGCGAGAAGGAAATGGACGCCTTGGTGGAGAATAAGTGTGTGTTATTGCCAACATTCGTGACGACGGACTGCGACTCGGAACAGTACGTGCTCCGGACACGGCCGCGGTGGCGGGGGTTCCGACGGTTGTTGTTGTCTAGACGGACTTCCGTGCGTAAGCTGATAGGTTCGTTTTGGGATAGTCGGCGGTTCATCCCTACGTTGTTGGTGAGTGGGAAGTATTATTCGTTGGCTATGTGTGCGAAGCAGGGTAAGGCAGGTGCTCTGGATAGCGGGGGTGTGGAGTCGATGGATGTGGAGGAGCCGGCTGACGTGGAGATAGGCGATCTTGCTGGCCAGGTTCGTTTCCTGTTGGTCGACCTAAAGTCGAACAAGGTAGAGATGGTGCTTGTACCGGAACGAGCGTCTCGGTCGCCGGAGAAGGAGCGTGCAGCGGCCCTGTGTGAGAGCGGGTTGTCTGAGCGGATTTTGGCGAGTGGCGGCGTGTGCGGTCTGTCGAATTTGGGCAACACTTGTTACATGAACAGTGCGATTCAGTGTTTGTCTCACTGCGTTCCGTTGACCTTGTGGTATCTGAACGAGCGCTACAAAAGCTGCATTAACCAGGACAACCCGTTGGGGACGGGTGGGCGGTTGGCGAGTGCTTACGCGTCGACGTTGCGCAAGTTGTGGACGGTGGGCGCGCGACGTTGCGAACCGAGCGCACTGAAGAAGGTCGTAGGTGCGTACTGTCCCATGTTCCGCGGCTACGACCAGCAGGACGCCCAGGAGTTCATCGCATATCTGCTGGACGGACTGCACGAAGACGGGAACGTGGTGACGAGCAAGCCCTACGTTGAGAAGCCCGAGATCGTCGTAACCCAGGACGGCCAGGTCAATGTAAACGGCTACGGCAAAGAACGCGTCGCTCGTAGTCTGGCTCCTGCCGGCAGTCTGGCAACAGCCGGCAGTCTGGCAGCTGCTGAAGACGTGGTGGAGGACCTGTTGGGTGAGTGTGCTTGGGAAGGGCACGTGCTGCGTAATAAGTCGCACGTAGTGGACCTGTTTCATGGGCTGCTCAAATCGCGACTACATTGCGACGTGTGTCGCACAACACTAGTAACATATGACCCGATGATGTACGCAAGTTTAACGATCCCGCGGTTCCGCACGTGTGTGTTCGCTGTGGCTTTATTCATGCCGCGATATGTCAAGGCCATCGCCTTCTACCTGGCTGTCGACTACCGTGAGGAAGTAATTATGACTGCTGGGTCGGTTGCTGACCAACTGACCATCATCGTGGAAAAAGAAGAACACCAAATCAAGTCCAAAATCCTGGAGTACTTCAACCCTCCCGTCGACGCTCCGGCCCCCACCGCAGATTCGCCCGGCTCCTCTCTCCCCAGCTCCGGACCAGTCTCACGCACACGCAAAAACGTACCAGAGTTCCGCCACTGCCAGGCAGTAGTCAACGCCGTATTCATCAAAACACCTACTAGCGTTCAACGCGCCTTCAGCTCAGACAGCCAAGACAACAAACGCAAGAAATTGCGCTCTCCACATGACGATAGCGGTCCACGCTACACCTCCAAGATACACGTCGTACCCGCCCTCTGCAATCCCGACGGCCTCTCCGCCAATGCAGACTATAACAGACTCCTCATCACCATCACACCTGCTTATGAACCCCCTCCCGCCGGCGAACTCTGGACTCACGCAGCCACCACCACCGGCCTCCCCACCGCCTCCTCCTCCTCCTCCTCCGCTGCCGCCAGTCCCCCACTACCTCCTCTCAATGGGGGGCTGTCCAACGGCGGCCAACCATCTACTGGGTCGTCCTCGTTCTACAATGGCACATTGATTCCTACGGAGCGGTCATCACTCGGCCCGAAACGCCGGCCATCCTACCCTTTGCTGCTATCGTTTTGTTTACCCTACCCCACGACATTGATCCTCGGTCAGACATCCATGACCTTTCAATATTATGCGCCGCTGCAAGATAACACTGACGTCGGAGCCCTTGTGGCCAATATCGTCGTCCCGCAGCTCATGGAAGACTACTCCAAGTCCGTGTGTCGGCTCTGTATTCCCAGAGAAGGCAACGCGAGATCCAAACTGCGGGCCAGAGTCGAAAAATTGCTGGCGAAATCGGAGTACGTAATTAGTGCTGTCACTCGCACACGTGCGCGGAAGCAAGGCAGAGGTTCCCGAAGCACCTCTGTAAAGCGCCGAAGCAGCTACGGCTCTGCTCATAACGCTAGCGGCGGCGAAGTTAGCCAAAGCGACGAAGCGGTGGACAAACCGGTTAGGTTCTACGCCAACCAGTACTCCAGACAACCGTCCGACGGCACCCCACCAGACCAGTCGATGGAGGCCGAACCGCTCCTAGGACAACAATGGATAGACCAGTTCCGTCTGTCTGATTCTTCCCTGAATCACTTGTGCTTCACTGTTCCTGACTTCGACTTGGCGAACCTCGGTTTTGGTGCGACTCACAATCCGCCGATTCTCAGTGGCTGTGACATGACGCGAGTTGCAAACGAATATCAGCTTTTCGAAGTGGTTCGCAATGACCTCCCAGACATTCCCCAAGACATAGCGGAGACCTGCAGTTGGCTAAAGAAGCACATAGCTCCCAGTCCAAGGCCTGGTCCGCCGGTTTACCAGTGGAAATACACATTGAAAGAAGAGAGGTAAGCCTTGCCTGTATCCCCGACTGCCTCTTCCACCTTCTCCCGGCCTCTTCCACCTTCTCCCGGCCTCTTCCACCTTCTCCCGGCCTCTTCCACCTTCTCCCGGCCTCTTTCGATTTACCTCTTTGGCCTTGCCCACCCCCCCC